GAAGAAGTAGAAGATGTAGTAGAAGATTTAGTTGAAGATGACAACAATGTAATTGTAGATATAGAAAATATTATTGAAAAAAGAATAGAAGCTAAAATTAAAGAAAATATAGAATTAAAAGATGCAGAAGCTACAATAAGGGAGGATATATTGGTGCCAATAAGTGCCTGCTTATATCGTGCCTGTGCTCCAAATTTTAAAATCAAGTTATGCCTGTGCCTTATATATTTTTTTTTGTACTGGCATATGCCGGGTTTGCAAAACCCTAATTGTTATCATACCTTATTAAGCACATTTTTTCTTATTTGCCGTGTAAAATAATGAGATAACTCTTCATGGATTTTAGCTAACATACGTGCTTTTGGTGTTTCATCTTGCTCATTATTTGATATTTTATTTTCTCTCTATATGTAGTTAATTGTTCCCAAATAATTACCCTGATAATATCTAAAAAGTCAGAATAAGTTTTTATTTTTAATATAAATCATATGAAATCTTATTAGATAAAGATTTTAATTCTAAAAAATCGAACACGAAACTACACTATCAAAATACTAACCTATATATACCAATGGAAAATGTAAGCTGCAACTCTTTTATAAATTTGTATCAGCTTATAGCATCATCTGGAAGATATTGTTGAATTTCAATATGTTCGTAAAATAATTTTTCAGATAATAGATCGTCCAATTGAACATATTCGTCTTTAAGTTGATGAGGTTTACAAGCACTAACTCAGTACATAGTACTATTATTTCCAGGACTACAGGCACTTTCATTGCTATGATGAAGTTCATTCATACTAGCTGTGGTTGCAATTAAATAGTCTGAATATTTTTTCAGAATTTCAATTAACGAAAGAACTGCAGGCATTACTTGATTTCACCTATCGCTACTCACCCGTGGTTGACTTATAGAAATCTCAAGAGAACTCGAAAGATGCGCAAGTTTTTGTTGAGACAATGGATTCTTTTTATGATGACCAGTATAATAATACTCATCATATGATTTACCATCCTGATACGTTTTCAACCGTGCAAAAAGAGCTGGTAGATGATATGAGCATGCACTTAGTGTTGAAAGATGTGGATCAATATACCAAAGAGCAGTTGCAAGACAATTTACGAATGCTTTTCCTATTGTTTCATGTAAACCACCTGTCCATCCAACCTGTTGAACTTTGAAAAGTTCGATAATTTCATTATAAAGTCGATCATAGTTATTACGCTCATTACAATTACAAGGAAGCAAAGGCCGTCTTGAATTTGCCATTAAAATGCTGAAAGCATCTGGTTTGTCTTGAGTTAAAACTGAAGTATCTAAATTTGTATTGGAAGCAAGACAAAACTTGACTTGCATAAAACCTAAAACTTCAAGCATTCTCAAATCACCATCTAACCCATTGTCTACTTCTCGCCAACCTTCAGACTTTTCTCATCGAATAAAAACTTTCACCTCTCGATCATCATATTGTCCTAACATAGTTAAATCAAAAAGTTCCAAAAATTTACATGTCGACTCTATACTCATTATACGCTCAGGGATAATACATTTAACACCTTCATTAACCTGAACTAGGAGATAAAGCATTGTTGAGAAAATTGATTAATGGGGCAACAAAAAGTATCTTTAAGCTTTTATTTCGTTTTTTATTTATTTTTTATTTTTTTTCCATACTGACAGTTCTTCTATTTTATATATTATGGCTATATATGTATGCACGCACGTATCTATCATTATTGTTCACCTTGCATGATTAATGCTATTTTCGCTCATACGTACCATTACAAAGATACCTTTCTAAATAAACCCATAATGACCAAGCTTCTAACAATGTGCATTTAAAAAACAATAAGAAAAAGTGCATTTACGGGAGTCAAGTATATACTTGGGCCAGAAATTGTGAGTATATTTAGAGAGGTGG